CTATTTTATTAAATCCAAAGTCCAAATATTTCAAATATTCAACAATTGGACCTACTTCTTCGGGTAAATATTGACGCTTGAGGATCAAATTGAGTTATCCAACGTAATCTTATTCTATTGTATAAACTGTTTTACTGGTTACTGTTGGAACAAAGTTTATTCAACAAATGTGTTATGCTTTAGTAATTCTCATTAAAAGCTTGAAACCTTGCTGGATAATATAAATCTATATTCCTGACAACGGAAAGGTCATATAGAAGTTACTGACTTTAATCCTTAACATTATGGGTGTTCGCTTTAGGAGGCAATCAAAGCTGTTTTACGTAAACACTTCACAGGTCTATAGAGGAATGACAGTGGAGTCAACGGCCTCATTAAGTGACAAACAGACAAATCCAGACACAATACGGTCGGTAATCGTGGAAACCCGAAAGCAGCGAATAATTGCTTGTAAATAACAATGTCCCGAACATTTAGAGGTTACGCGTCAGCCATATTGACTACGAACAGTGCTACGCAGCGTAGCACTTAATTATGTAGCTCTTATTGAACTTATTTTTGTCGCAGGCATTCTTTTAACTTGTAATGTCGTTTATTTTATGCATATTTTCCTCAACTCACTGCGCATTTCTCGCACATGCTATTGTGGACATAAATTCATTAAGGTAATATGTATCTTAATTACAGTAATGGCAGTAATAATTCTAGTTATTTGAAGCTAGGAAAATTACAAGTATTGCCAGCTAACATTGTAAATGTAACACCTTTACAAAATAGTTAGTTACAGTCACGTAAAGGACTCGTTTCTTACGGAAATAATGTTATCTCGGGGAAAATATTCGGCTCCTATTTCTAGAACTCGGTCACAAGCACATTAGTGAAAATGTTTTATGAAAATTGTGACTCGGTTCTGACTTTATCTCGTCTGATGGTAGGCTAGATAGCCCGAGTAGACGAACAAGTTCAGCATGTTCTAGTTATGACTCAAATCTTTCTGATCTTGTTCTACTTTACAAACTTCGAGTAAGTTTCCACCGCTACGTACCAACTTGTATAAACGGTATTTTCAAGGCACATAATTCTGAATATGTGATTACATTCCCTAAAGTACTCAGTACAAATAGGTACTTGCCAACAACGAGAACAATGAATAAATTATTTGAGTCATGAACTGGTATTTGAGCTTAAACTCGTTCACTAGGTTTATTATCGTGTTGTTTGTTGTTGTTGCCTGATATACCACGAAGTGGCCAATCAAATCGTAAAATTATATTGTTCAGCTTTGTAACAGAAACAACATCTCCTTACTTTTATATACGAAAAATGAGGTCTGTTTGTACTAAACACATAATTGAGCTAGAAAGTGTTACCGAGAAATATAAACTGGGCAATTGTGTAAGGCGACACGTAATACTTGTGCTACATCATCCTGACTGAGGGGCAGTCATGAGCTTCTGACCTTTACATTTTATGTGCAAGATTTCAACGCCCACGCTGCTAGAAACTAGAAAATTCCAGTCATATCTGTACCAGATCTGTAAACAGAACGAAAAGTAAATCGAAACCTACTCTTTCCCTTATGTCCACATGGGACGTTTTGCCCTACCGAGGTTGCCAAGCACGCATCTGTTACCAAGGAGTCCATATAAACAAATCACGACCACTTGTCAATCTCTTGTTACGCAGCTGCGGAGCTATTTGTCATAGTCGATATCAGTGTCAACAGCTGAACAAGTCCTTGGCATACAACCTTCTAACAGGGAAATTAATGGCGGTAATCCTCGTGAACCGACGATTTGTTGCCAAGGCCTCGTCCTTTGGGCAGGTCCCACGGGTTGTCTGACCTTCAGTATTGTATGAGTATATGCATCATTCGATGACGGAAGCCACTCTGCCTCACTTCACTTCAAGGACGCCTGTTAACGCCTCATGTTACATCTGTGTGGTGCCTGGTCAACTTGCGAAGACTTTTATGATTTATGACTTCGAGTAAGGTAAACTACATGCCGCGTAGTTCGACCGTACTCTAACTTTGAGGCGTAACAGAAGTTTCTTTGTAATACTTAGTATTTCCATATTCCTAAAGATTTAAGATTCCTTTATTAGATTAAATGTTTAAACACTATTTAGCTTTGTGGTGAGTACGGAACGTGATATTTTAGAATGTTGATGTAACATCCCACACGTTTGGCTGTAAGCCTGCAGGGCAGGGGATGAGTACGTGGGCTGAGCACCCACTAGAGCCACTATCTAAATTGAGTGTCTACATTTTCATACTGTGAAAATTGAGTACTGTAAACGTTTTTCCCTATTCATTGCTGTGGGCGGTGTAGTAACACGTACATGAGATGGGCAAATCAATTGTAAATAGTTTTGAATATAAACTGGTCTACCGTAGCATTTTATTACTTTTCAACGCAGTACTAATGCACCAAAGTTCCGCTCCCACGCATAACTGAATCAATAAATTATATATATGCAAAATTTCTGTGAATACAATTAGCACGATGCTGTTAATAAAATAAATACGACATTGTAAATATTAGAGGCCTTCAATGTGGGCGAAAACAAAGCTGCGGTACTGATATCAATTTTCCATACTGTCCGACTGTAAACAACGCGACGAAACAACCGCCCACGCAATTCAGTTTTTTGATAAAACTCACAGAGTAAAAATACATTGTTTTTATTAGGAAACCTTATCGTGGTGACAACAGCAACTAACTCACGCGACTGCCAACTAGCCCAATATTACAAAGTTCATATAACTCACGTTTTATCACAGCTTAATATTTGTAGTTTTATTAATATTTTGCCAATAATCTGGCTGTTATTTCATAAACTTAATATCTTATTTTCGGGAGTCATCATTTTAATATTGAGACTGTTACCATATGTTGGTACAAAAATAATTATACATTCTTCTTACATTGCCTCTTCTATTTGTTTTAATTCTAAACTATGATTTTAGCAAAAATATCTTTTTATATTCAGTCTATATTAAGTCTAACAAAGATTTTTCATATTGAGTCGAATATGAAAAAATCTAGTCACGTATTCCATTTATTTTTATATAATAAAATAGATTCTTACTAAAATTATTTATGTAACACGGAAAGTTAATTTAAAAGTTGATATTTCTTTTGGCACGGCGGCGCGACTGAACGGTATTATTTGGCGCCAAACGTAAATAAAACGCCGATGCTGTCGCCACCGGCATATTAATCTGGGTGGAGTATCAAAAATTCAAGAATCCACGTTTTGCCACCGCGTGGGCACTTATTTTTTCACGTGGTGATGCATTTTCTTTTGATACTATAATTAATGTGTTTTCATTCATAAAACAATATCTGTTTAAAAACCTTTTTGCGTCATCAGAACCTACGTATAATTTTTGCACTAAAATAACAACTACTCGCATTAATGCTCACGAGCTTACTCATTTACGTTTCCGAAACAATGAAAGCAGAGTCTTAAATAAAGCAAAAAAAATAGCACAATCACTGTAAAAAAAATCAGACTTATTACTTGTTTTTCAAATTGAAATTGTGTCACAAGTTTAACAAAGTTGTTTTAATGGCAGAAATAAGTTACATAAGCTGGAGGAAAACGGCATTGTAAACAAGAGTAAGCCTAAACGTGGAGGCTTAGTCGCGACAATCCTTGATTGCAGTACGTGTCAAATAATTCAACCACCGTTTATGTTTCGCACAAAAGAGAGGCGAGATGCCACAAATGAATAAACATAAAACTGAACAGGATGGGCTACTTAACGGGAAAATAATTTCTTCAAGCGTAGTATTTTTTCGAGTGGTTGTTGATTACACACTTATCTCAATGATGCGTGGTACGTCACTACGTTATGTTTACGATACATAGACCTCTGACGTTAGTAACACCTGCTCATACAACACTAAACCTAGATCGCAAGCAACATTTTACAATGCATGTGCAAAAAATTCAATGTAGCACATTTTAAAATCCGAAAACAGCCAAACAGAAATAAACTTGGATCCAAATACTGCAGCTTTGTTGCCAAATTATAAAAAAGATTCTTTGTGTTATTTTTTTTTCTATGTAACACTAAAATAATATTTAATAAACAAAGGACGCTAATCAACAAATAAAAGTGATCAATTTTATGTAACAAATAGTCGTTTGTTTTTGTTTTCATTCCATTCCGTTGTCAACAGAGTGATGTGTTTGAATGGGCATCACGGTGTTCTAGGGTTATTCAACCAGGCGGTGGGCAGCTGCTGACGCATAGCGGCGTACCCGGTCTATAAATATTTCAGAGCATATCTACATGTCGTACTAATGGAATTTTTGTGCGCAGTACGTTCTCGTCCTTCCTGGGTCCGAACAAATAAAAGGCTTGTGTTTTCCCCGCACTGCTACCTAATCAAGAGCTTGTATTTTTTTCTCAAGGTCAATAAATAAAACGAAGTTCGACGTAGATTTCGCAATTTGTATTGTGTATTTATTCACCAACCTTTCTTTATTTGCCGCGCAAACGAATCTTTGGCAGATATTTGAAATCAGTGTTGTGTAATAAACTTGTCCAGAACAATGTTTCCTGCCATTTTTCAAATGTCAGTAGCGGCTTGAGTAATTGACGGCAGTAATTTTAAAAGAATACTTTTGTAAATCTTGTGCGAAATCTAATCTTATCTTAAACAAGTGTTGGGTAGTGACGTGCTTTGTCGGTCATTAGCTGACGGACGTCATCGAAAGCCGTCGGTAATGAATGAAACTGTAGCTCGCCAACTAACCACTGAACTGGACTTATGTCGCAGTGATTCAACGCTGGAAGCGACTCAAATGATCATTAACTCCAATTTACTTGGATAAGGGTTACTTGGCAGACGTAATAACTACGTTGATGCTGCGAGTAACTATTACTTTTTCCAAGAACTTTCTTGAGAAATGGTTGCGCAATTCTGTGTCCATGTTGTTGTTAGTTAAAAATTTTTATTAATATGTTTGTTCTATTGTTGCAGATAAAAAGTAAATCCCCAAGCATGAAGGACGAGCGTGCCAGTATGCCGCGCGTACGCATCGCTGTCATTGGCAGCTCTCGAGTTGGCAAGTCCGGTAAGTAAATATACTATCAAAAACTGAAATCTTCATACTTTAAGACAAGAAAAATATTTTTGTGGAAAATAAAATTACTGGCAAGTAAAAGTGTTTCGGAAAATCCCAATCATCTTATTTAATCCTAGTGACTCAGTTATTCGAGAAACGCTGTCATTATTTGATGGATTTTCTTTCCTCGAGATCATAATACCGATATCTACCCCGATTCTGGGTTAACTTAATGCAATACTGCTATTTCACCAAACATAATATAGGCAAGTTATAACGTGTGGAAACATTTCTTAGAAGATATTTAAATTGAAAGGATTTTCGCAAACTTATTCTCAACTCATAACGGTAACAGAGTCTGAAATGCTCAGCATTTAACAACTCGCCTCCGCCCACTGTCTGTCACGAAAAATAGAATTATCAAAATTAATATTTGAAAATCATAAAACAGAATGTTATATAAATGAACCATCAAGAATGTTTGATTAACAAAATGAAAATAAAACTAAAACAATGAACGTCGCGTCTATTAGTGTACCTTGACCACGCCGTCGGGCTTGTGACCCAAAACGTATTACATAAACCTAGGCCAACAGCCCACTGACCTATTCTCCTTTATGATATAACTATTTACAATTACATGTACAATAAATTTCACTATGTTCAGTGAACAATTACATTTACATCGCAAATACAAACAAACTCCCTATTCTTAGAGAACAGACAAAAAGCGATCGCACACATACAAATGCTAGATTGTGTCCTAATTTCTATAAATAGATGACTTGTTTATATCATTCGATTTGCACTAATAACTATTAAGTATGCCTCGTTAGAATCAAAGGTTTAGTTGCTGTTGTCTGAAACTCATGGAACTGTTCTTAATTTGAGCGAAAGTATTTGTAAGCGTAATAAAATTTTAAAAGCTTTTTGACATTGTGACTTTACAAAAATGTATGGTTCCAATTCAAAATCAAGTTAAAATCACTTATTCCAACCAAACCTTAAACATGTACTTTTGAAACGTCCAAATCCAATAATAGTCTGTCTGTGAGTTCGTCATCGAATCTATACTTGCTGCTTGTTTCAAAATGTAGATTTAAATAGAGAAGACAGAAACTGCATCGTTACTATTTAAAAAACAATATAGTACACCTAAAAATTTTAGAAATATTAATTAAATTTCTTTGTTGCAGCTCTCATCGTTCGCTACCTAACCAGGCGATACATCGGCGAATATCATTCAAACACAGGTTAGTACAACAGTTTGCTATAACTGTGAGTTCACTGCGTAGGTTTTATCCTTCGATATGCTTACATTATGTCTTCCTTTCAGATCTCCTGTATAGACAAACGGTACCGATCAACGGTACTCCCGTCGAACTCGAAGTTATAGATGTATCCGGCTCCAATTCAGATAAATTCCCAGCTGAACAGGTAAATAAATAGCTTATATCCACGTACTTTATACGATTTCAAACCTCTGACTACTAAATCTCTGAATTAAAAATATGTATATTATTTTCTAAGGACTATTTACTCTAACTACGTAGGTTTTGACCCTCCTCTACATTAAATCTAGTTTAATTTTATGAGTGAGCATTACACCATCGTAAACTTTAACCTTCATCCATGCATCAGTTTATAAGGTACCTTAAAATAACACTTTGCTTTTAAACAACCGACGGGTATGAATAGGTTAATACCCCGGGACCTTGCCCATAGCCCACAAATCTTCACCTTCACGGAATTAAAGTATAACCTAAACAGAGGTCGACCTTTGGTTTCCAAACAATAACAAATACACAAATCTATGAGATTAGGGATAATTTCGAAAGAAGGTTACATCATTTTAGTTGATTTATTCTGGATTCCTATATAATTTTAGCATGTTTGCTATATTCTATTACCGACCATAATAGCACCACTCGAGATTACGATTAGATAACTGTCCAAATTAGTTGATACACTTACATAGCTATGCTAGAATACAGTTATAACTTTACCTTTAGTGTATGCTTCAATGAAGAGTAAAACAAAATAATGATCTACGGGTAATTTGAAGCTAATAACGTGAAGGTTTGATGCAGAACATCAAAGTGCTAATCTTGGTGGATACCCTTCCGTATACAAAACGTGATCTCCGATAGTCTGGAGCCGCTTTATGTTCCGGTAACTGGGTTAATGTTCCAAATAATAACAGCAATGGAACCGCACCAGAAGCTGGTACTCGCGACCTGTACGGTACACCGCTATGACTCATCATGTTTACATGTAACACAGTATAGCAATCAACCTCCAATTAACTAAAAATCAGTTACAAGTGATTTTCAGACATTTTTAGAACGCGAACGACGACCGATGTATTTTGGATCCCCTTCAGAAGTTTGCACAAATATTATTCTAGACATCCTTAAAATAGTTCCGTTGTTGAAAAGCAACTTGGTGAAATTAGCAATAGCCAAGATATTTAGCAAATTGTTAAATTCGTTTTGACAGTGACCACTGTGGGTAGAATGTGTATGGACAGTCGTGTAGGAGGATGTTCCTACATCAGGATAATGTTTTGACCAAATACATTGGTCATTGATTTACCTATTTCTAATAATACTTATATAGAATAAGAACATTGCTATTATTTGAAAAGGTAAAAATTATAAACCGGAAAAATATTTCGATTTGAAAGTCCAGTTCTAGTTAAAGACTGATGACATTGACTAGATAGAAGTAATATTAGGCTTACGCATTTGTGTAAAGATTTCATCATTCAGCTCGATATCGAAGGATATCAATACATGTGTGGACAACAATAAGTGTCGAGTTAGCGCGCACGACGTGGGTCGCATGTCCCGCCGCGCCGCGTGGGAGCGCCCGTGAATCGCTGCAAGGCTAATTTTAAGCCGGAATGTTGGCTCCGAAGACGCATTAATTAAACACATTCTTCTTCGTCTAGTCTCTTTGCTACAAAGATATATATTAAATTGTTTGATGAAGACTTAAAAACGTTTTGCCAAAGTAAACAGCTTTGTTCTCTTAGATTTTGTCTAAACTTCACTCCAAAAATGATTTTATGTTCACCTTTTTAACCTTCTTATGACGCACTTTCACTGGCTATAATTAAAAGTAGATATTCACTGGCTCTAATATTGTCGTCTATTACGTTAAAGTAGGGCAAAAATTAGAACTTGTGACACTTTGTATAGGTAATGACGTTAAATTAGCTAACAAACATCATTACCAACAAATTACTAACCTACTTAGGTATATACATAAATACACGTAAGTAATGGCTGTAAATTATATCGATTTATTACACCTATTTAAAATAAATCTTCGAATAAAACGTAGTACGCGACACAGACAGAAGTTTTCTTCAGCACTTCCACATACCTACCTACTTCCGTCATTAAACATTTGCTCTTATCTTGTCAACTAATTTTAACAATTTCTTGGCACTTTTTGATGTTTATGTTATTCGTTGTTCTAGATTCAATGGGCCGATGCTTGTCTGCTGGTGTACGCAGTGACGGACCGCAGCAGCTTCGAGTACGCGACGGAGGTGTTGAGTGCTCTAAAGCGCGCGCCGACGGGCGGCAGTCCGGCACACGGGCCGGCCGGCGCCGCGGCGCCCATGCCACTCGCACTCCTCGGCAACAAAACAGACCTAGACCACTTGAGACAGGTCAGTATCTAATAAATAACACATTAATTCGTTTTGTAAAAACATCCACGATATATTACGACGCAAAAATCTCTCATTTGTACACGATTAAGTCTACTAATTAATTCCTCTCGAGCACAAACTATCACACATGTGATAGTTTACGAAAGCTAGGATTTATGTGAGTAAAATTGCGCACTTTTTCAAGTCGTTGACGTACGCTCTTGAATTGCGACGGGTTGATAAAAATATAGCGCGTTTAAATAATAATTATGAATACGAAAAATAATAAATAATCCACTCAAATGGTAGGATCTAAAGAAGCTGGAGCAGGAAATCGCAGCTAATAAATCGAGCACTTACGATTCCAGTGCGCGTGTACTGAAAAATATACATTCGTGAATACGAGTTAAATGTAAAGAGAGAACTCGAAGACGCTTGATTTTGCACATATTGTCGTAAATCCGTATGTTTATTTAATAAACACGGAATAAACAAAAGCTCGGATAACACCAGTTTACTTAGAACAGAAAACGTGCGCAACGCTCGATATTTCTAAATCTCGAAATTGTCCTTCACCTTTCAACAAGACGTCAGCCGATATGTAAGATCAGTGTCACGATTACATAATGCGAGTACATTAATAGACTGGATGATTGACACGTTTCCTTTATCTTTGTTTAGAAAATCTAGATTTGGATCGCAACCATGACAAAGTTAGCTACAGTTTCAGGGGCAAACAATTTCAATGTGCATAATGTTTCACATAACAAAACGCCTACTTTTTCCTGAACGGGTACAGCCATATTTCCAGGCGAACAAAAGTTCAGAGAAATCTGAGAGAGAGATATCATACTTTCGCTTAGTAATATCTTTAGGTACTCAAAGTTATTTAATGTTATCTATTTTACATTTTGATATTTCCAAGACATAAAACTACTCAATACCATCACGACATTGACTATTATGAAGTTTTGACACTGGTGACAGCCGAACAAAGCTGGAAGGCTGTCTTGTATCGCTATTGAGTTGTTTGAGGTGCTTCGAGTATCAATGGAAAATATGCCATGGTGACGAGAGACAGGTTTTGTTAAGCGTATAATAGACGGACACGTGTACTATGTATGTATGGAATAGGGAATAGTTTCACTTAACACGTACATAGGTATGTGGGGATTGATAACTAAGTTAGTTTGCGTGGACGGGGCGCAGGCTCGCGGTATTCTAGAATTTTCCGAACGTATTTAACCAAAAAAGAACTATTGCAGTTATATTAGAATTGCTTTTATAATAATTTATAAAGAGTTTATCTGATAAATTTTGTTTATTTTCTATTTTGATAATAATTAACAATAATTTTAAAAAGTTTCGGATTAAAAAGCTTTGTATTAAACAAGAAAAATTTGAAAATAAGTTTTATTACACGTTTTTATTAATAAACCTTTTAAACTTTGGACATAGTTAACCTACTTTTGTAACGAACGGAGCTCAGTACAAACTGAAACTTTTATCGACAACAAACAAAAAATAGAAGCAAATTACATAATAACAATTTGTACGAAAACTTTAGCTGTTTTACTAACTAGAAGTACTAAAATTACGTACAGAACCTGACCTTATTTCATATTGTTTACAGAATTTAAGCAATCTAAACAGCTTTCGTTGGATTTATTTTGTATTAATTATTAAGTAACAACATCCCGAGAGTATCCGATTTTCCGTTTTTGTCGCTAGGAGCGTTAACAACGAGTACCTAGGTAAAAATAACTCGATGTTGTAATTACACAGCTACGTATCGCGTGTTTTCGTATATGTGATCAATTATCTAAAACTATTTTCTTCTTGTCTGCAGGTGACTACCAAGGAGGGTCAAGCTATTAGTGCTGCCCACGGTGCCTCATTCAGCGAGGCTAGTGTAGCCGACAACTCTGGCGACCTCTACCGTTGCGTGGATAGACTACTAGCCGAAGTGCGCACACCACAGCGAACGCGCAAGTTCTCCGTTACGAAAATGCTTGGATCATTAATAGGTAAATATAAATTTCCGTTCGATCAAACGATAAATCGAATATTTCTCTCGTCAATTAAATATAGCTATGGAACCAGACTTTTTGAAGTTGGCGATGGCAGATTTATACAAATTAGAATAATAAATATTTGAAATTTCCTTCAATATAATGATGTAATGTAAACGAAAATTAAATATGATGTCTCTTTGTTCCAGGTGGTAGTGGCAATAGCCAGACTAACCGCAGCGGTTCAATGGTCGCGTGCCCGCGCGTGCCCGCCCCGGCGCGGCCGCCGCTGGCCGCTGCTGCTCCCTGACCGGCGGCCGCGCCTGCGCATCGCGCACGCTGATGCCTTGCCGGCGCCGGCGCAGTGTGGTTCGCCTGCCTGCCCGTGCCCGCTCGTTTCGCGCACCCTGCGCCTCTGTCCGCCACTATCATATAAGTCGCAGTGACGAGGACTTGGTGCGGCGGTCTACTTGTGCTGATTTAGTGTGGAGCTCGTGGACTTTTCACCAAAGACCAGATACTAGTCAATATTATTATAGTGTGCATGTAATTTGTGCACCGTGAGCTTCTTTTAATGTATGCTTCAATGGCATTGTGTTAAAACATCAAGTGAATCAGTTTTATGAATTATTGATGTTTAGGTAATTTTGACAATAATTGCGAAATATTGGCACGATGACGTGTTTCCATTCAGGTATTGATGTGCCAAAGATCTGTTAATATTAACTGATTGGTGAAAGTATTACTTACATAAAACTAAGACATGTTATTAACTCAGTAATAAAATACTCATTTGCATAATTTATAAATAAATAAATGTAATCAATGAATCCATATAATGTCTGTTGCATGTTGATGTTTATAAAATATCTATAGAGATTATAAATCAGAGTTTACATAATATTATCGTAAAAGGTGTTCTATTTGATAACTATCTACATCTTCAGCGAAGGGTGGCTGACTATCTCTGTACCACGTATACTATGTGTACCTTTCTATGCATTAGTATATCAATTTGATATGGCCTAAAATTTTCTACTTTTTCACAGTATTATTAAAATAAGTCTTGAATAGGCTAGGACACTTTTGTGAATCCTATTTCACCATATTAACTTTTAGGCCTACATTTTTGAAGAATTTCACTTAAGGTTCAACCACACAGATGTAATGTTTTAGCATCTAGACTGTTTAAATCGATGTTGATTTTAATGCACAAACTGTGAGTATGATGTTTTTAAAGAAGTATATTAGCAACATACTACAACATATATATAGCTAAAATTAATGAAATACTGGTTGAACCTTAATTGAAGTTCAGTCACAAAACTACGAAATTATAGATATTTTGGAGTCAACATTATATGTATACATTTATAAGTAGCCAAATTGTACAGTTTCCCTTCAGGCCTAAGTAGTGGTGAAATTAGGAAATATATTACATTTTAATATTCTGATAATTGTTGTAATAGATTTATATGTGAAAATTCTTAATGGATTCTATTGTTACTTCACATTTTACGAAAAGTGTTGGATGTTTAGCATTGTTATGCTATGTATACCGTATTTCTATACAAATATTATTTGTATTAATCATTAGTCATCTTCTAGTCATAGAATAACGGCTGTGAAAAGACATTTTGAATGTTTGGCTGGAGTGATAAGAGACGGTCTGAATAAACAATGTAAATGTATATTACAAGACAAAATGTCTACGTGTATTCTGTCATATGGAATGTAGTAATAACGGATAGTATGGTAGGAATTGTACATATTGCGAAGCAAAGATTTGGCTGGTGTGATATCGTCGTAAGTTATGATAAGGCCGCCGCACTCAAAGATTAATTAGCAATATTAAACTAATCAACACTTAAAGATGTCATAAATTATGATGTCATTGTAAATTATTGAAAAATGTTCGTGCGGCGGGGAAATGTAACGTGAATGCCTTACCTTGATTTGCAAAACTATTGCATAGGCTGGGAACGAAGTAGGTTGTACTGCTACGGATTTGCTACGATTGCTACGACGTAGCAATGAACCTTTGCTACGTATTTTCGTAGTTTTGTCTAATGTTACCATATTGAAAGCTGCAACCTAGTTCGTTCTAAGTCTTGTTGTTAAACTATTAACTATTCCATAAAATTATATTGATGAGAACAGAATTGAGGAATGTAAATATGTATTGTACATTGTTAAGGGGACTAAAACGTCGGAACTGATTGGAATAAGTTGTAAATATTTTTAATTGATTAGCTTTAATAATATTAAACGTTTACAATACTTATTTTATGTTTTATTTCATTTTATCTTTAGTGCTGATGCACGTGAGATACCTACATGTCCTTTTAAAAGAGATTTAACTTTTTCTCTTCAACTTAGATCAAATAAGTAATAGAAGATTTAAGAAGTTTACATGGGCTCCTGATAATGAGTCCCAAATAATTTATATTTCAAATATAGGAAGATCTTATACATTGTAGTATTTCCAATAAGTGTTGAGTCAACAATTTAATCGACACATTAGAGAGTTTTATAGACGGTATTTAAATTCATTGTATTATTACTTAAAATCTGAGTCGATACATCATGTTCTAGAAGAAAGACTGCAATGTTTTATAATTTATAAACGTAATTACATTTATTTAACAAGCAAAAATATGATAAGAGCAAAGAATTATGCTTTGCATTTTTTGCACACTTCTTTTCCAGCAAGAATAATCCCCACTATCAAAATATTACTGAATTAATAATGAGAAAAAAGTATTTAACCCAATTTTCTTCAGTATATATCACACGGTTAAGCAAATATCACAAATCACTGAAAATACTCACATCCGACATTTTTTACAAAGCGTGGGTATGTTTTAAAGAATGGCATTCCATGCAACGATTTTTTTAAACTATCTTCAAATAATTCCGAGATTGTAAATAAAAAAAAACAATCAAGGTCACGAAACTATTTCAAGTGACCTATAATTGCAATTTAAAAATAAACTTCGCAACAAATGTATATCATAGCTATTCGAATTAATGAGAACATTGATTGACACAGAAAATAAACGATTAGTCGCTAGTTGTTAATAAAATAAAGTGGAATTACTTGTAAACTATAAAATGTGGGTAACCAGAGCTAGGAGTATTCCATGATTCATAGTAAACAAGGATCATTAACATCATTTGCAACATGTTTTCAACAACAATAGGAAAAGTGAATAATGGGATTAAAACAGAGAAACGTTGTTCAAGAATTTGTATGTTCCTTTAGTATATAAAAAACTTAAAGATGTCATCTTTTTTTATTAAGTAAAAAGGAACAATAATTAAACCAAAGACAAAGGTATTCCTCAGTTTACTTAACACTTAGAACGCCATGTCGGACAATGGTGTCCGACGCTAGCGGAGGGTTAGCCTTCAACAGTATTTGTCGGCAGTCAAAGGCTTAAAGAATTATGTATTACAAGTTTGGGAAAATGGCATAACTGAGTATTGATTAGGAATGTTAAAAATAAATTATTTTTATTTTTACAAAGAAGCGTTTAGAAAAGTCACTCTTTTGATTAGTTCATTGTTTTAAGATACAATTTATAAACCATAGAAAACTGAGGAATTTGGACAATTCGAAAAAGGAATTTGACTATATACCAAAAATTCAATTCCGAACAATAAATAAATAATTTCTTTTAAATGAAATACTTTAAAAGAAATTAAAAAAAAAACGTTTTTTATGGTATAACAACTCCATGGTAGCCAGCTATAATGATTAGACCTACTAATCTACAATGCCTTTTACAGTAAACCAAGTACAAAATAACGTAACATATTCCAAATATTACATTACATGCCAAGCTTACTAATAAATAAATCTTATCAACCTTCTTAATTTATACTTCCTCCATAGACAAACGGCCAAGAAACTCTATAACCTGACATAATATACTAATACAATAATATAATATACTAAATGGACTATAAATCCAATACAGAATGATGGATGTGAGTGTTTTTATCTCACACTAAGTCGTATTTAGTTAACCCAGTTGCTACTACACCATATAAATTATCTTTATAAAGAATTAAGGTGTACTCATATAGAAAATTAATAAAAACTTAAAAAAATAAAACTGAGACCAAAATCTTTACAGACATTTTTACACAGAGCTAATTCATACAGCTTGTTATGGTTATGCAAACTATCTTAATACAAACTTTCAGCTTGATCGGTTGAAGATATCTGCATAAAAATGTTGTTACAAAAAACACTTTACAAAAAAATACAATACATATTATGCACATTGCCTTAAATTTAAAACTTTCTAATAATAAAAATTTGGAAAACGTATGTATATACCTATATGTATTAAAATATCTTGATCCGACCGATCGCATACGGAACACCGTGATATGTTCCAGAACAGGGTTCGCTGATGTGGGATGTGGGGGTTCGCATCCGGAGAGATGGGCCACTATTGTCACTCAGTGGACACCTCAGGATGGAGACCGCAGGCGGGGTAGGCCCCGGAACAGATGGCGCGACGATCTAGACGCCTATCGTTGAGACTGGTGGACACAGTCGAAAGATCGAGAGGTATGGAAGGAAGATGGAGATGCCCTTCACTCAGTGGGACATGCTAGTAAAAAAAGGTGCATTTTATACAAATGGTTTTGACTATTAAAAACCTCCAGTTTTGCTTCAAAATAGTCAGCTGAAGAAACTGAACAACGAAATTATTCTTAAATGTATTCCAAATGACCTATTGACCTAAAAATTATATAAATAAGCAATTAATCTTTTAAAAAGAAAAACTAACAAATCACTTAGTTCAAACAACATGAATAGACTTTTGATTAGCAAATGAAAAATATAAAATAAAGATAAAAAGGGTGCCTTTTTTAAATATAAGAACAAATAAACACTTCTGAGGAGCGTTAACTTTGGGCACTTTATTTTATTATTTACGCTGTTCGTCCTTGAAGCCAGGCGCTCGTTCCAAAGTGTAAATTCAAATGGAAAACCACGAGCAAAAGACTCCATCGTTTAATATTTAATTCTGATGATATCTATATACCTATATATATATGTATACATATAGATATAAGGAAATATAAATCGTTTTTCTGTGCAGTTATGAAATGTGTAGGCAACTACCAAACCTCATAAGATTGATGCATAATTTGTATTGCTAAGGTAATACAAATACAAATTAAATACATATATGATTTTTTAATAATAATTTAAGTAAGCTTCCATTCATTGTCATGCCAACTTTTTGACATACCTACTATTTGCACAGTTTTGTAAATATGTTACACTCGACGGAACAAAATTAAATTACTCTTACATCAATTAGTGTCGTCGCCTAGTATATAGGACACTCTTTTAGTTTAGCTGCCAAAAGATAACAATTTCCAAAGCTTTGATTTATTAATGGCCACGAAACTATAATAGATATATTTTGTGGACACGACTTTACTGTGTCCGGACCGGGATTTACGAGCGGGAGTCAATGAACCCTGTTCCGTTTAAGGCTACCGTTCGGCCCGCATAGGTTCAAATCTGACTATTAGGTATTATTTATGCACACACGATTCTCTTCCCGGACTATATAAACATTTATTGAGACCATAAAACTTGCAGAGATCTTTGCTTGTATTCACAATGTTCCATTTTCAATAGATTTTTATTTTGTTCTTAAAATAATCTCTTCGTTTATTTGTATATCGACTTGACTATTTGGATCGAAGACGGATATGTTATTGAGAATTTTTCAATCTTTTTTTAGTGTCAATATCATAAGTTTCCACTTGGTCATAAGATATGTGTTGTGTAAATATATCCATAACGTTGAAGCTTGACATAAAGACTGCGTGTTTAAAGCTAATAATAATAATAGTTAAAACTCATTATCGGTTGACATGCATTAATAATCGAATTTTACGTCGCCGGCCGGCCGAACACGCGCCGTTGAAATAAATCAAAATCGCAATCGAGAACAAAGCTCGCACCGGCGAGATGAGAGGGGTGCGCACCCCAGCTGCGTACTGCGATCGATCTGTGGACCACTCCGCTCCGGCTGTACCCGACACATTGTCTGTCAATGCGGCTCTAACATCATACGTCTGACAGTGTCGCGCTATAAAATATTTTAAATTGTGTTTTTAATTAGTGTTATGTTTTAATTTTTTTATTTTGAACAATGGAGGGGCGGAGGTCTTGGGATGGAGTGCCTTTGGGCGAGTCACATTCTCCACCACAGTCCGTGCCGGGCCGCAGGACGCCGCTGGGAGCTGTGGGCCTGGGCGGCTTCTACATGCAGGGTGGCCAGCCTCCGCCGCCTCCACAGCACTGCTACCCGACTGACGAGAACCAACCCGAACCAGGCACAAGCTATGGACAAAGGTGAGTTTGACCAACAAATATATTTCTAATCTTCCTCTACCTAGTCACAAGCCCCGTATATCATAAGCATCTCCACTAAAAATGCATACTCTTGGTATACATTTCGTTCCTATCCGGCTTTTTTTAATGGCCGAATTTCTGTTTGTAAGCAAAAGCAGATGTTTTTTCGCGCATGCGCTGTATTCCTGAGCCGTACCAAAAAAAACTTGCATTTACACGAATTTGCTTGAAGGATTGATTTTATGCGCTTGTGATGCATATCTAGGTGCTACGGATAGATAATAATTTATGTACACTCTATATATGAACCAGTAATATCCTATATTACCTAAAATATTTTCTCGTATGAGAGCTGGTACTAACCTTCTAACAAAAATTAGTTTATTTAAAGATCATCATCAGATTTCAGTTTGACGCTTTATTATAAAAACCAAAGAGAGATAAAGAAGACCGGGTAAAATACACGTGTTTCGTTTATAGTAAAATTTATAGTTCATAGTAATATAATAGGCAGCAAGGCTGCCGTAAGACGCCGGCTAAAATTTCAAATCCCGCCATTTTGAAGAATACAAATAAAGAAGTGTGAAATTAAGAAATAGAAAAAAAATCTCCATGAAATGAATGTTAATATTAAGAACACTTCACAAATTGTCATCGCACTTTCTGTAAAGGTAGAAAATACAATGATTTCAATAAATATTTAATTAACATAAATAACATTTTATAAAAATAAATAAATAAAATTATATAATATGTACAAAAAAAATTTATCCTTCGGGCGAACGAAGAGTTAATTAAGTACTACTTATTAATACTCGGATAAAGGACATTCAACGTGGCAATGTGTGACTCCTTTGGGCACCCTGCCTCACGACAATGAATAGAAGATATTTTTGATTTCAAATAGCTTTTTGTTAATTTAATTTTACATAAAATATATTTTTGTGTATTAATTTATTACATGTAAAGTGTTCATAGGCAGTTTCAAAGTAATAATTTATTATTAATCTATATACTAATATATATTTTGCCTATTATAAAGCTGAAGAGTTTGTTTGTTTGTTTGAACGCGCTCATCTCAGGAAGTACTAGTTCGAATTGAAAAAAAAATTTCGCAAAATAAATTATTTATGGAAAAAGGCTTTAGGCTATTTTAAATCACGCTATGATCTGTAGGAGCCGAGCGGCGTGTGAAACCGCGCGAGAATACCAAGTTATATGTTTAAATGTGATATTAGCGTATATTGAGAATTTTTTGTTTAATTATTCCATGCTTGACACAAATATTGCCACTGAAAAATGGCTCTATTTAATTAATGTACGAAATACGAGTGTTAAGTAATTAACTACTTAACTATATTTAATTAATAACTTATCAACCTAAAATCTACAAATAGCCCACAAATGTAAAATAAAATCAGCACATATGGCAATAATGGTGCAAAAAACCCATATCACTATTCATATCGTATTTGTGTGACAGATGCACACATGTTCGCTGTAAGTCTATAATCAGAGTAACACCGGCACTTCTAGTCACATCTGTGCACAATGGAGTATATTGTTCCATTCTCCCCTTCGACAAGCACTTTGGCTACCGTTGACCGCAATAGCAAATATATTGACGCCTTTGATTTTAATTTGGGCACCTTTTAAAGTACATTTTTTATTAAAGTACTTTATATTTTTTTAAATAAAAAGCATCACACCAAATCTTAGTGCTCATTTTTATTTCGCTTAAGCGACTTGCCCAATTTTTAAAGTTGTTGCACTTTTAGCAGATTTTTTTGGAAGGCGACAGTTTTGATTGACTTTCCAGTTACTTCATTCTAAGTAAGTACTTCAAGTCAAATCGTTTATTCTAATCAGATCATTATAAAGCATTTTTGAACAACAAAAAAAGATTTAAAGATGAAAAAGAATTTTATCTTTATATCTATAATAATATATATTAAACTCCACGGTCACTTTGAAAATCAGTTTTACAATCAAATTCTTTGCAACATAACAAACTTCGAGGGCAGTCTATTAAGTTCTAATATTAAACGGACTCTATCATAAAATAACACCAAAAGCAATATAGGTAGTTATTTAGACAGTTTAATGTTGGCCTGTCCAAATTGTCGGTGCGTTGACGAACTCGACTCGGACACCAGTACCAACTCATCCGTCCTACCTTTCGAAGGCCCGTGCCGTTTTAAACTGCAGCCTTCGATATAGTTACTATACTGCTAACTTTGTGTATCATCTATCTTCATTCTAACTTTGTTAAAAGATTATATAAGACAAGAATGACACAATGTCATTCCAAAACTATTTGCACTAAAGCATCCATGAATCAAAGCCATCCAAGTGTTACAAATCACACTGAATTCCGTTTTAACGTTTGAGATCGTTTGAAAGCTATTATATTTAGCATAGTTTATACAGATCCAAAATAAACGGACGATTACCTCATTTATTGTTCACAAAGGAACATAAATACACAACAGGTATACATTTCACTTGGGGCTAATGTTTGACACTGTAAACGCATTAATAGGCGCAATCCCAGACACCCACATCCAAATATCTGTGTAGCTATCTATATAAACATAAACCTGACCATTTTATGCATCATAAACCTGAATTAGAATGCATATATTTAGATATTATTGATTCTAAGTCTGTCCGATGTAAATATACGACGATGTATCAAAGGAAATCGCTCTAAATATCTATCCAGAAACTGTAATCCTGCAATTTAGAATTTTACTACAAAAGTTAATTTTAATTTGCAAAGAGTAAACTAAACCTCTTTACTAAGAACTTTACATTTTGTGCAAGTATTTGACATCAACCAAAACAAGCTAGAGTGATTTTAAGTTGCCTTTAAGATAAATGAGATTCAGCATTACTTACTTTAGTTAACAGCACTGCACTTAAATCCCAACTACAAGCGTAGCTGCTCAAGCAGCCAGAAAACAACCCGGACTCATTGATATCAATATCATATAAGTATTGGAAAGTCAAAGTCAAAGTCAAAGTCAAAATTACCTAAAATTGGTACTTTTAAAACGTCAAAATAGAAAAGTAGTCTGTCAGTCTGTTCGTCAGTGAAGCTAGGTGCTCATTTCAAATTGTTGATTTGAATTGAGAAGAACGAGCAAGAAACTCCCGGTATGGACTTAGGGAAAATGGACGGCAAGCAACACTTGTAGTGTGTTTCGCCGTGTAATTGAGGTTGACTAAACCTTACTCCCAATCCTCAATTTCCTAAATGGCTGATGGCTCTTGCAACTCCTCTGGTGGTCCATAGGCGGCGCTGATTGCTTACCAGATAATGGTCTCTGCTAGTTAGCCGCTCTCTCCCACACCAAAAAAAAAAAACTTTTAACGCTAAACATCACAACACATAGCAAAAGATTGTGTATACAATTCGATTAGTATTTGCTGTCCAAATCTTTGATCCCCTCAATGGGGTGACCCCCGTTAGCGACATACAATCCTATTCATGGGACACAATGAGTATTTGCCACTTGTTTCGCTCTGTCTGTTGGGAACCCCTATCGAGTGTGCACTAAGGGGACCCCGCGCCATACGCAATCGTACCCACGAGTTTTATACCTTGACGATATTATTTTTAGGGGATTTTTTTTTTGTTCTCTGTACGATTGACCGCGCCATCGATATGGAATTTAAAAAAACAGAACTTGTAATCTTTTAAAAGTTCATATTTTCGATTAAAAGCTAAATTTGTATTTTAAGTCTTGTTTATGGATAAGTTTTGAATTTTATTATATTTTAATTACATTTTCTTATAATCTTAGTTTTTAACATAATCGTATAAATAATCTGACATTATTTACACAAAAAGGTTTTAGTATTACATGTAAACACACACAAAATTAATAATATTCACGGCAATAAATTCTCATTCCAATTACAAAATTAATAATCAGGGCATTACATAATACAATATAATGCTTCCTAGAGATCAAAATGTTAGATAATAATTAAATTTACAACCCAATAAAATATATTTAACACAAGCAAACTGTAGTTGGCTTTCAAATTCCGTTCTAAATTTAATTTTAATGCAGTCAGTAATCAAATAATATTTACAATGAATTTGGATCTAAAATTAACTAAATAGTGCATAAATTACAGAGCTATCAACGATTCCAAGTCAAAACAGAAGATGCGCCAAGGGAAGAATGTTCGGCTGAATATAAACGCGAGGGAGAGACGCCGCATGCACGATCTGGTAATTATATATTATTTGAAGTGAAAAAAAAATTTATGTGTGTAATTAAATACTTTATTAGTATATGGTATAAGCACTATTTTTGAATAAAAATTGTCGCATAAAAATTAAATAATGGCTTATTCACATAAGTGTAAACTGAAAAAAGCTTTACTTGGTTCAAGTCGCATCGGGGTGCTTATTCATGAGCAGCGTGCATGGCGCGATGCTTAGTATTTTTTACCGTAATTCAAGTTATTAAGTCGTTTTTTTCGAAAGAAAATTAATCCTATTAAAATTAGCGAAGCATACATAGATCTTGACAATATTATAAATCATTATCATCACCCCTTAAAAGAAGTATTTTAGACGCTAATGACTAAGTACTTAATTACATTCAAAATTTATATACTAAGAACTTTAAAATATGTTACGCTTACAATCACTTACAAAACCAAGCGGTATCATACGAAAATTCACTAAATTCAGGTACTATCGATTCTTATTTACATTACAATTCATAAGTGAACATTTATCTAAACACATACATAGCTGCCCTTAACCCATCACGTTTCAAACTAGATCTATCTGAGAACCATTACTCCTAGACTAATATAGATTTCCATTTCAGTTTAAGTAATCTTGTAACAGAATTTCTAGGAAACTGATCATCATTATTTGAACATTACATAATTTATTTTTGGTATGTTATTACAGAATGATGCATTAGATGAATTGCGAGGAGTGATACCGTATGCTCACTCGCCATCTGTCCGCAAACTGTCGAAGATTGCGACTCTACTGCTCGCCAAAAACTACATCCTGATGCAGGCCAGTGCGTTGGAGGAACTCAGAAGGTAACCACGTGTTAATTGTTGGCAACGTCTTCGAAACTGTTTAGTTTTCACATATTTTAATATAGTCGTCATTGGTTTACGTAAAGTCATGCCTTTACCGCGTGTACAGACAAACATTTTCTTTGCTTTTATTGAGGTAGACTTATTACCTGATAGTAAGCAATCGGCGACGCCTATAGACACCGGCAACGCCAGAATAATTCCAATTGCATTGACAACCTTTTGAGGGTTGTAAGGTATTTCAAATGTGGAAACACGACGCAAGCGTTTCTGTAAGACCGTGTCTTAACTCAGGTCAAGCAAACCCATTCTGTCCATCTGTAGCGTGACTATCCCACACACATGTCTAATAAACTATAAACTTGCTTTATAAACAACAGACCAATGCTTTTATGAAATATCTTAATTCTATTTTTTGTTTACAGATTAGTTGCGTATCTCCAGAGTACAGCTACAGCTGCGGGAATCGTGCCACCTCCTGGCTTTGACCTAACTGGTTTCCCAGCTGCTGCGAAACTCCTGCAAGGGCCCATCCCAGGCCCACCTCCACCCCCCGAACCGCCATCTTGAGATACAACCATCAAACTAGAGCCCTAATAAGGGCCTACCTAGGATAAATCAGTCCATACAATATAGACTGATTGAAAGATTGAGTGTTTTAATTAATTATATGTATACTTTATTTATTCTATATCGTCTGGAATGCTCGTTACAAATTCTATTTACAATTACATTATTATTTTACCTTTGTAATACTCTTGATAAATTTTAGTAATAAGATTTACGAATAGATCTCAAATTAGTTTGTAAGTTATGTAAATAATTCAATACTCAATGAAAGAAAGAGAAAGTATCGGTATGTATAATTTGTAAGAACCTAAATGATTTTTGAACTATAGGACATTGCTGTTATATCATTCATTGGTTGTCAACCGGATAGCGTTTCCAAAACTTAAAGGGATTTTGTGAAATCGTGTGCCAAAGTTAAATTTCTACTGGAAAGTTGTTGCCAAGTGATCAAAGCCATCGCTCAATAATGCTCAAGGATTCGTGTTTTAAGTATTTTTGAGGAAAAACGTTATTATAGCTAAGTTTTCCTTAAAATAATTTTGCTTATCTTTATAAGAATCGTAATATTATTCAACGGATTTTCCTGCTGCAGTTAGTACATCTTTTCTAAAAGTTTATTTGTGTATGTAATGTAGTTAAACCATTTGTTTCATAAACATCGTAATTTCAGAATATTTACGACGGATACTAAGAACTTTTATTGCAAATTTCTATTGAGCAAACGTGCACAGGAAAAAAGTAATTTTTAACGAACAATTTGAATAAAAGGACATTCTGAACTCATATAGATTACCATGAAGTATACTAACTTCATTTTTAATACAAATACTTCTTCGATATTCAAATTTTAAAGGTAAGATAGTTCCATTAGAATAATTATTCAAAAAATATTGTAAATACGGTAGTATTTTTCGCATATAAGTGAAATCTAAGAAATACTACACATTAAGTACTTCATAGATGTTTATTGAAGTTTTTTTTTATTTTTATTGAAACATTTTTTATTACACTTTATTTTATGTTAAAGAGTGTCAGCCCTAAGACTTATCATGATTTGTTCTTATTTTATAACCGAAAATTAGACACATTTTATTTTTAACTAGCTTCTCTCGCGCGGTTTCACCCGCTGCTCGGCTCCATTTAATCGTAGCGTGATGTTTTATAGCATACAGCACTCAGGAACATTGTAGCTACATATCAGTGAAAGAACATTGGAAATCCGACCAGCGGTTCCAAAGATTACCCCCTACATACAAACTTACGAACATACAAACTTACAAATTTTATCTCTTTATAATATTAGTATACATAAAGTTCGAGTGTCTTGTTCTGGTTTTCTTTTCAAATTGAGTTTTTCGTGTTTATTAATTTTATTTTGTATGGCTAACATGTTTTTTAGGCTTAGAAATAAATCAAGTTTCACTCGTAGTATTATTTCTAATTATTTAGGTAGGTATTTTTTCTAATTAAGATTTAGATAATAACTTATAATAAGTTTTCTCTGTGAGTAATCCAGAGAATAAAGAGGAATATTGTGCCAAAGATAAAGTAGATTTGTATTATAAAATAATAATAAGTAGTTTACACTAAAGTCAGGTATAATATTAAAAATAGATACTTATAATAAGAATTCTTTCTATCGCTTTATAATTTTTATTTTGCTCAATAATTATTAACTTTGCTCGAAATAATTGCTCATTATTTATTAATAAATATATTGCTCAAAATTGTTTACCTTTTATCTTTTCGTTGCTCAGAATTGCTCACGATTTACCATTGTTCAAAACTATCCTACTATCTTCGTAGGCTTTATATTTTCCAGCATGTTAAACCTTTTTTATTATTACATATTATATGCCGCATAAATAAGCTAATCCTAAATTATTTTTCTTGTATTTGTCGATCATATATAAATTCGTAATTATATAATAAAGCTGGCGTGTTGCTTTTATTTATTTATCTTTTTTATTAGCAGTTATGTCAACATAAAACTCGACAAATTTCTTCTTTTCACTAATTATTTTAATGTTTTGGTAACACTAGTTCTTTTAAGTAGACTATTATAGTTTTAGGGTCATAGATATATATGTGTTAAACCGAAGGGAAAAATGTAAATATAAAACTCGGTAAAATCTGAGGAAATGAAAAAGTGCATGTGCCAAAAATCTAGTAGAACTGTATTTTATTAAAACTTAGGCTACATAGATTTATAAGAAGTTAGGCTATAATGATTTTATTAAACCTACCTATACAGGTAAACATTTTAATTCAAATACATAATAATATAACGGATAGGCTAAGTTAGTTTAGTAAAAGGTCTCACTGTCTTCCAAAACTGTTAAAATTATTTATTTCTTATTAAGTTTTTAACATTCGCACAATTTCAAATCAACCGACTAGATTTATTATATACAAAATTTCATAAAAAAAATTTTGATTATTTTTGAACAACACAGTAGGCAGACTCCTATACCTATTTTATTTTCGTCATGACTTTCCAACTTTCCCTTTCTTTTTATTTTTTACATTTAAAATATAAATTATATTAAAATTATTAATATATTAAAGTAGAATATAAAATGTACATATGAAAAACGTGGCACGCAACAAGCACAGTATTAATGAAGTAGATTTGTATATATTTAGTAAGTTTATTATACAATAACAATTATTATTAGGGTAACATAGTGAATAAATAAATTCAATAGTGTACGTTCTGTTCATTTCATTCAATTTCATTCTTAGGAAAATTATCAGCTGTAGTTAATTAGCCACTCATCAATCGATATGATTTGAAATAACAGTAACTATGAAATTTAATCTTTACACCTACTTAAAAACAGTCATTAAGGGCTAATTTTTCAATAGTCAGATAAATGTTATGTGAGGAATAAAATCGTTGCTATCACTGTCTTATATAAACATTCTGACGCGACAGTACCACAATTATTCCGCATAGAACTTTTATCTAACCATTGAAAAATCAGCCTTAAGTAACATAAAAATAAATCTACAACACAATTTTAGATTTTGTTTGAAAACTATCAAAACAAAAACGAATTATTGTTAAACTTAAAAAATATTTTCCTACCTGTGAAGAAAATAAGAAAATAATTTCCATCCATCGTTACAATTACTTACTTAATTTTTGAATCATTACAATTAACCCATTTTTTTATATCATAATGCAATTAAATTTTGATTTATATCATCATATACTGGTCCTTTTACTAAATTTTATTTTATTAATTTATTAATTACATCTAGGTTTAAGAAAAATATTGAAGTTAAGGTGTACATTTGCCAAAAATAGTAGACTTGTTCTTTGAGAAGTAGGCTATTTACAATAAAGGTCGGAATAAAGGTTACAAGTTTCATTAAAATATATTAACGAATACGATATAAAGATAAGATATATAATTCAGATAGATTTAGAAGAAGGTCTAACTGTCTTCCAAAGTTACTTTAGTTTTTGTCAATATTACTTAAGTTTTTTTTATAATAGTCACCGATTTTTTTTTCAAATGAAATACAGTAAGAACTTATTTTAAATCCTAATATTATGCCTAAATTTCAGGACAACTTTGTCTTTGGATGTTTTTGGTCTCTCTTTTATTTTAAATTTACTTTAATAATTTGGATAGTTATAAAGAGGTTTTGTGTAAATTAATTGTGTTTGAATTAGTTGTAAGTTTTAATCATGGACTAAATAATTGGTCCATGGTTCTAAATCCTCGTAAAACCAAATTAATAGAATGTAGATTTATACATAATTAAATATAGTTAAATTTAATAAGTAAGTATCTATAATAAATTATTATAATTATGGTTGGTACCTACAAACAATCATGAGTGTGACCAACGATACAAAAATAAATGAAAGGTATTAACAATTTATTTATCCATTTAAAAAAATCACTGAAATACAACTGCCTATCTTAAAATAAACTAGCTTTTGTCCGCGGCTTTGTTCGCGTGGAATAGTGACTTCCTGCAGATGTTTGATTTAAAAACTATCCTATGTCCTTTCTCGACTTCGAAACTATGTCCGTACCAAATTTCACACAAATAGATTCAGTAATTTAGGCGTGAAGAAAAGACAGACAGACAAATAGAGTTACTTTCGAATTTATAATATTAGTTTGAAAATTTGGATTTGTTTAAAAACTGAAAACATGATTATGGAAATCATCTAAATAAAAAACCTTACAATATGACTTAATTTATTTTGTTCTGAGATAAATGTAAGCTCGAACCTTGACTGGAATCCCACCGGGCCCCAGGAGGTAAAAACACAACACGCACAAATCACGATGTAACATTAGTTTTTCACTAGCTATGAAAATATGATCACTTCAAAAATGTAAAACGAATGTGCAACAACATATTTAAAGAAACATTGAGCAAGTAACAAAAACGAAATACTATAATTAGACTACATACGACACACAGCAGCAAAAAAAAAATTCAATACAATCATTCATATAGATTAGTTGATAGTACCCACCCAACTTCTTTCGAGCTACATCCGGGACTCATAATTTTGTAGCGAAAATAGCTGCGCATTGTCGTTTCTTTATAAAGCGGCGGTCTAGACTAGTAAAACAGCCTTTAACATTTACGTATTAAAGTGCATTATAATTATATATTAATTCAGTAGCCGCTTAAAATTTAAATTTGGAACACTTTCTAATTCAATGTCTAAAAAGAACAAAAAAGAAACAATCGGTGATCGCACTCAGATTTTTTGAAGGTGATAATGGGTAAAAATTATTGTAGGCCTGTACATATAATCTCTACGAGTAAATAAGAAAATAAGACATTGTATTAAAGCGAAATTAAAGAAGATCTGTATTACATAAATATAAAAGAGAATATGTATTAAAATTTAGTCTAAAAATCCAAAAAGTAGATAAGTTAAATATAAAGCAATTCAGGGCATTAAGTTTATAAAAATCCAAAGTATTAATTATAAGAAAGACGTCTTGTAAATAACAGAA